TCAGGGGTACAACTGGTAAGGCAAAAACTATGTGTAGTTATCAATTACTGAATTTTTTTTTCTTTTGCATTTAAATGCAACGGCTGACAGTTATGTTTTAGTGTTCATTTGAATGTGAAAAGTTATCCATTATGGAATCTTTTCTTTTATGCTTAAAGGCGTATAGGAATCTAGGTTTAGTTATGATATGTGTTAGCATATATTTATCTATCTATATGCTTCTCTATCTAGTTCTTATTAATATAGATGTTATTTTTAGTGGGCGCATGTTTCAGTTGAAGTCTTTATTATTTTACAGAGTAAAATTAATATCAACCGGCCTAGAACTTGAGAAGTCCCTACTAACAGAAAATATGCTTCCTAACAGAAATCTTCTATTCCATTTTCTATTAGAGAAACCACTCTTTTAGCTGAAAGGTACCCTACTGATTAGATCACAGGAGATCATCATAAGGCAAGGCTTAATTATCTACTTAATGAATGCACACATCTCCTTTGTATCTGTTTAAATCTTACCTGAAATATAATCAAAGTCATTTTTAAATGTGGATTTTTTTTTTAATCTGACATTATTTCTTGTCATCATAAAGGTTATTTTTAGTGGGTACATATATTTGAGTTCACATTCTATTTTTGTTTTTTTTTCTTAAAGACAGAAATTAATATCAACCAGCCTAGATCTAAAAGTCCTGTAAATTGCACTGCTTAAGAAAATTTTTTAGAAAGTAAAAAAAAAAAACAGGAACGTCAACTCACACACAGGTACCCACAAAAAGTAACATTTATAGTAATAACAAACAATATAGAATTAAAAAAATAAATTTGAAAATATCACAATGTTGATAATGAGTCTGACCATAATTTTGATTTAAAAGACAACTTTCAATAAAAGTGTAAACCATTTACTAAAATTAAAATTTATAGAAAGTGTTGTAATCACTAGATCATACACAGTAAAATTGCATCAAGGTTCTTACAATATCTTCTATTATTATAATGTGGGATATTTAATAGCAAAAGTGATAAAAAGAAATTAAACAAAAAGAAAAAAAAGGAAGTAAATCAAATCGGCTAGATTATAGACCCAAACACATTAAAACCAAAAAAAAGTTCATTTAAAATGTCAAAATTCACTCTCTTTCATGTGCGTATGTAAGCACACCAACATAAATATCACTTTCATCTGATGAAGCCCAAAAGGATGAAACATGTCACATAAAATCTTTTCCACTTTGTCTTGAATTTTCCTAAAATAATTGTGTGTGTGCATGTATATATATATATATATATAGAGAGAGAGAGAGAGAGAGACATAATTTACTTATACATATGTATTATATCATACAATATTAATTATGATTTTTCTCTCTCTCATATATATATATATCAACCACAGACAGACTGTTTTGCTGTATCATAGCTCATGAATAAAAAGAAAACTTTTTGATTGATAAAGATATAATTCTTTATCTTACCATAGACATCAGAGATCCAGGTTCAGTCTACATTTAATGGTTTAACTCAGACACATACACATATTATATATATATATATATATATATATATATATATATATAATATGTTCCTCTGAGTTAAAGATTTAAATGTAGACTGAATATACCCAGAAAGCTAATATGGTAAGATAAAGAATGTATAGGAAATGTTTATCAATCAAAATGTTTTCTTTTATTAATGCTTCATTAGAGATTGAGATAAAACAGACAAAAAGACAGAACTTTGGTATTTTCAGTCATGCATCATGTGCATTAAAACTGTAGATAATTCTATATGTATATAAGTTTGTAAAAATTCTATGTCCAAGCTGGCATCAGATGGTAATAATGTATTTGTAACTGTGTATGTGTGTCTGTCTAGTAAGAGGAGTTCTAAAGTTTTCAATTTTGTGTGGTCAGTCAGTGTAGTGGGGTGGTATTCTATTAATCTGGGGCTGTTTTATGGATTTACAGTTTGTATTTGATAGATATAACCTAGATGCTTTAAGATATAAGCTAGAGAAGCTAGATGCTTTAAGAATGGATTTAAAAAAAAGGATGGTGATGTAATGCAATGTTTGATTTTTAAAAAAAAAAGAAAAAAAAGAAAGAAAATATAGTACAGTCAAGAATAATTAACCTTTCCCTACCAATACATAAAATTTGCTGACTAATGACAAACCAATGTTATTTCAGTTTCAACAATGATTTTTATAAGCAAGAATTTGCATTTTCAGTGGGATTGCTTCTTAAGTTTCAGCTTACTGGCCTAAATTCAAGTATTTGCTGACAGGTACATGTTTATAGGGATTTGACATCTAAATTAGCCATGAGTATCTGTCATATTAATCCCCCTTAATCTTTCAACATCATTGCTTGAAATTTTAATATGTGAAAGACTAATTATTCCAAGAAGTGATGTTAAAATTTTTGTTTTAGCTTTCATTAGTCTATCGGAATCATTACCAATTCCAGATATGATAGGTTACAGTGTAATGCATTAATAAGCAAAAATTCAGATGACCAAAGGGATTGCTTCTTAGCAGAGTTATAGCTTGCCGGCCTCATCAGATTGAGACTTTCATATGGATGTCAGGCATGGTACCAAACCCGTTAAGAAATATCTAAAATGCCGACTGTATACAAATGCATTCTCAGATCAATAGTTAAAAATGGCTTTGAACAAGTGAAGCCTATGGGTCTTTTTTGAACCTTGTCAACTGGTGCTACAGAATCACAAAGAACTGCACCAAATAACAGAAACCAAATCACTTGAGGACTACCAACAGCAGCAACAACTAAAATGGATTATTTTTTTTTTAATCTAGCTAAATTCATCTAGATTCTTTTATGCATTTGGTTAGATTGCAAGCAAAAAAAAAAAAAACCTTCTTAAATTTTGAAACTCCCAGCATCTCTATTTTTTGGTGTGCATGTGTAATCACAACAACATAAACAAATTCAGTCTAATGATGTCCTAATAGATGAAATGTATCACAAAAACTTTTTCCAATTTGTCATACATCTTTTCATTCAAAACAGTTCTTAATATATAAAAATTTATATATCATTAAGCTATATATATATATATATATATATATATATATATATATATATGTATGTATGTATGTATGTATGTATGTACTGGATGCAATTGATAAATTGTTTTTTAAATTATACAAAAATAAAACAAACACTGACATCTCATTTTAACATATTTATTTACCAAAATTACTCAAAAATATCTTGTAAAACTAAAGTGTATTTTTATTCAATAATTTTACCATTTCCTCTAGACAATTTTGGAATCTCCTTGTTTAACTTGGTAAATGCTGCCATAATCCTTGTTTTCAGTTCATCTTTGGTATTACAAGGAGTCTTGTTGGTATTTCGCTCAACTGCACCCCACACATAATGAACAAGAGGCTTGCAGTCTGAGGAGTTAGGTGGCCATATATAAGGGGTGATGTCGTTGCAGAAATTATCTGACAGCCATAACTGGGTTCTCCTGCTTGTTTGGTATAGTGCAGAGTCCTGTTGCCAGACATAGGGTCTTCCAGCAGCCAGCCTCTTGACTCAGGATAGCATTACCTCCTCAAGGCAGTTGATGTAGGCCTCCGTGTTGAGTTTGAGGCCCTCACCAATAAATTCAGGAATTCTTTTCTCATCAGAAAGATCATAGTTTTCTGAGCTTCTGTACCTTCGTAATCACCATTAGACTCATCCAACTCTTTCCGAATCCTCTGCACTGTCCTCAGATTGACATTCAAACACTCCAAAATGTTCATATTGGAACTTCCGGTATAAATGTGAAGTAGTACAGCATGCCATTTCCAAATTGCTGGTGGAATGAATTTCATGATGGTGCTCTTTTTCTTGCAGATGGTTCCCAACTGACCCTACTATACTGTACAGTCAACAAAATAAAAAAACAAACAACATGCATGTGTGAAATTAAAAATATAAAAATGGCGACAATTTACCCATCACACCCTGTACACACACACACACACATGGTGCGATGTGTAAATTGTCGCCAATTTATATTTCAATACACACACACATATATATATATATATATATACATGCACACACACAGCTTGCAATGTATAAATTTCTATTCTAGAGGATTAAATGCATTATACAGAATTTTTCAACTTTGTTATTCAATTGGCCAACACTGTTCTGATCTATAGAAATCTCTTGTGTGCTGAATATAACATCAATCAGCTAAGTGACAAATTTTATATTTGTATTGATCCTATATATATATATATATATATATATATATATATATATACATATATATATATATATATATCCTGCTTATCTTGGTAAAAATATATTCAATATTTCATTTCATTTCTATATTTATGATAGCACAGATGGGTGCATATATATTCACATGCATTTGAATGCATGTGTGATTGTCCATAAAATGATGCCACACCCACTTTTGATACAGATTTATCCTGAAAATATATGGTGTTGAACTAACTCTTTAATATATTTAAATATACAATTAAGTGCTGGAAAGTGCTCAGTCTAACCAAGAAGTCCTTAAAAAAATGAACATGATGCCTAGACAAATTTTTTTTGACGTGTGTGGGCTTTTCAGTGCCCACTTAGTATTTAAAGAATATCTACTAAAAAAATATTCTGTTTCACACCTCATGTGATCTTGATATCACCATGCAGTGTTGATTCCTATATCAAGGCTGTGTGTGTGTTTGATTGATTTGTTTTTTCTACAACTTATCAAACTTTTGCTGGTTATTTAAAGCCAGAAAATATTTTTAGATTCTAATAATTTTAGCAGAGATAATTATTTTCTAATACAAGTCTTGCAATTTAACCCATAGCTGGGAGGAGGAGAAGTGGATTCATATCTTTCCCAAGGGTATTTGCATGTAAGTGAATATAATGAACCTGACTGGAATTGGAACTCGGCTCTCCAATTTCCAATTCTGAGCCATTATCCATTATCTCACCTGTACATCCAAGCTTATAACACCTAGTATTCCCAAGCAATCACCCAACTAGGTACTGACCAGGCTTGATATTGCTTAACTTCAGTGATCGTATGAGAATTGTTATTTCAAATTAGTATGGCCATAAGCCTGTAACTGATCATTTTCTTATTATTTTAACCATTTATCAACCTTTTGTAGGTTATTTAAAGCTGAAACAGTTCTTGGGAAAGATAGTGGAGTATTTCCCCATTGCCTTTTGAACTTAGAGTAATCCTTCTTCTAGATCGGTGGCCAGCCAAGGCTACAGAGCCCATTCTACCCTGTGAGGTAGCTGATGGCAATCCTATAAGAGGAACTTTCAGGTTACTTTGAAAAGTAAAAAGGATAGAGGGATAAGAGTGTATTAGGTTTCAAAGGGACTACTGAGAAGGAGACTAAGAAGCCATTGCCCTAGGTAGGCTTTTTTTTCATTAAGTGGCTTGATATTTTCCAGTCAAACTTTGTCTTGTGAATCAAATATGTAAATCTATTGTCGACCTTATTTGATCAGTTTTATGAATAATTCATTGCTTCATCTGACAAAATTCAATTATTCCATGATCAAGTAATTCTCAGGGCAATGGGATTTACTTGGCAAACTGCAACCCAATATACTGCACAAAGATGCCAAATGTATAGTTATTAATTGAGCTAAGTCTGGCATAGGGCAACGAATATAGAGCTCATAATGTAAAGGGAACTATCTGTATACTTGTTTTTTATAAATCAAATAAAAATATCTGTCTATATTTCTGAAATGAGGTATAGTAATTATTTACATTATTTACATTGTTCAGACTGTTGTCCTCATCTTTGTTGTCAAATACAAAAACTTAAGTAATCAGCACATATGCTAGGCCACAAAAATCTCCTGAGCTGACTAAGCATAGAAATGAATATAGGAACCAGTAACAGAGAATACTAGAGAAAAACAACAATAACAGCAAATTGTAATATGAGCTCTGTTAAAAAATGAACTGAGATATTAGGTTTATTAATCCCAAAAATTCATACAATAATGTTGGTTGAAGTAAGCCAGTGACTTGTGTGTTCAATACCTGGCCACAGCAGATGTGAACAAAAGCTTGGAAAGTTGAGTTAAAGGGAAATAACTGATATTGAGACATCCAAAAGAGGCATGGTATGTGGAACTAGAACAATCTACCCCAGTAGATGAAATAAAGGGTTTGAAATTCCAATCACCTGATCATGAATATGGCAACAAAACTATCCAATTTAAATAGTGGAAATAAACAAAAACATATTCTTGACTTTTTTGATCAATTGTCACAAATTATGAAGGCTGTGTGGTTAGTGTAAAGGATATAGACACAAAAAGTGAAATTGGAAGACAGAGTTCAAATCCTAGCCTGGTCTAATGCATTCAATTTTGCATTAATAAACATTGGTAAGGCATTTCAAAAGCTGAGAAAGGGAAAACTTGTATTGGAAAGAAAGAAAAAAAAATTGCTGTATTGTTGATTATGATTGTGATATCCATTCTCTTCTATGGCGGTGAATGCTGGACAATCTCCCCACAGATGAAGAGACTCCCCACAAAGAGAAAACTAGAAACAACAGAAATATTGTTCTTCAGAAGGATACTGAGAATTCTATGGACGGAGTGAGTAAGTAACATGGAAGTCTTTAAAAAATGGCAACAGAAAGAACACATAGAATCAAGAAGCTGAAATTCTTTGAACACAGAATGAAGGAGGGGATTAGAAACCTAACCCTCATAGGGCATGGTGAGGGCAAGGGAGATAGGAGAATGCAGCAAGCCACTTACCTGATAAACTTGTGTGAGTGGATGACAGAACTGTGAAGGAGGCTTAGCAAAAGAAGAAAAATTGTTAAAAGTCATATAAGATAGGAAGAGATGTAGAGAGCCATGATCGCTTATGTCCTGAAGGGATGCAGGATTTAGAAGAAAAAGGAGGCATGAATCCCACCTGCTATGGGTAAAATAACAGAGCAGAATGAGTTCTCTAGACTTGGGTGGCAATAATTAGTTAAGGAAAAGGACAACTCTGAAAACCAAAACCATGGAGAAGGCAATGGTTATCGGTGAATAAAGTGGAACTGTCTATTTGAGTTCAAATCTAAGCCCGTCAGTTGCACGCACAACATTGATACCAATGAAAAAGGCAGGAATTTTATCTTTTCTCCACCTTAGCTAGGGTTTAAATGACAGAGCTATGTAGCCTTGGCTGACAGCTAGTCTAAGAGAAGTATTACTCTGAATTCAAAACCCATAGAAAAGGTAATGAGAAGTATCTCTCTCTTTCACTGACTCACTCATTTTATTACTTTAATTATTTCATGTCAAGCAAGACAATAATGCCACCAAGACGCAAGGAGTTACTGGAAGAGAAAGAGAATAAGAAGACTTTAGTGAAGAGAAAGAAGATTAAAAGAATAGGTTTCAAGAAAACAGAACATTGTAACTGATAATGCATTTACATTTTTGAAGTTATTTGTGCATGTGTCTACATAGCAGGAAAACAGGCAAGAAAATAAACTATTAGAATAGAACTGATGGTTACATTTAACTATTTTAACATTAAAAGAATGAGACCTAGTTGCCAATCAAGTAGTATGATTAAATTCATGCTGTTAATGTATCAAGGAAAAAGGCTCATTAGAACACCTGTCATGAAAACATTTATAGAAAAGATAGAGGGAAGCCATGTCATGTCAGTGAGTAAGTAACTGAAGTTGGTATGCTAAGTCAGGACCAATAAGATTACAGACCCTTCTTTGGATTTTCTCAAGTATCTTGAGATATATAGACAGAGAACTTCTTTCCAAAGAAAACATAGCAATTCACAAATAATAAAGACAAAGCAATATGTGGAGAGCCATAATTGCCTATGTCCTGAATAGAGAAAGGCTACAAGAAACCACTCCACTCTCTTTCCCAAGAAGTCATGGCAATTCACAGATAATGAAGAAAAAGGAATCTGTGGAGAGCCATGATCACCTACATCCTAAAGGGACATGGCATAGATGATTACTCTGAATTCAAAACCATGGAGAAGGCAAAGGGAAACCACTCCACTATCTTTCCACAGAAGTCATGGCAATTCACAGATAATAAAGAAAAAGGAATCTGTGGAGAGCCATGATCACCTACATCCTAAAGGGACATGGCATAGATGACTAATCTGAATTGAAAACCATGGAGAAAGCAACAGGATACCATTCTACTATCTTTCCCAAGAAGTCTTTAGAATTCACAGATAATAAAGAAAAAGGGATATGTGGAGAGCCATGATTACATAAGTCAATGGCTCTACTATAGAAGTACCTTTTACTATAAAGTTTACTTTAGTTTACTATAAAAATATCATCTCAATGATTTTTACTATACAGATATTTAACTACATACATGCACTGGGAATCATGAAAAATAAGATTTTCATTGAATAGATAGTAAAGAACTCATGGAGAGCTATGATCAATGATGAACTCAAGGGACATGGCATTTAAAAACAGAAAAATTATCAAGGATATGAAAGTGCGCTGAAAAGTTATCAATCACACCCACTTTCAAAAATCTTGGCAAAACAACAGAATTTTAAAATGTCACATTTCTTTAGGATGTACACCCTGTTGTCTGGGCTGTAAAATACACTTACTGCATCTCTGCAGAGACATAATACACCCCAATAAGTAGCCTTGGGTGTAATCATAAACTACATCTGGCAACAAGGCCTCTGATCAGGAGATTGGAAGTTGTGAGGAACATGAAACCATCTCTTCTTTGCTGCTGTTCCCAGTTTCACAGACCCTGGTGTGGTAGTACCTGTTAGGGTTCCTAGCTATGGACAAATTGTGAATCCTTAAACAAAAATCAAAACAATAGGAAAATATAAAAATACATTTTTATCATAAACATACCATAAATACATTTTATGGTAGAATTACCAATAGTACATTTTATAATAAAATAATGACCAACAATACATTTTTACAGCAAAATAACAATCAATACAACACTAAAAAGTACAAAAATACTTTTTATAGTGAAATTACCAGTTACACATATTTTTAAAATTACCAACAATACATTTTATCATCTACAAAGCATATATCTGAAAACGACAAATTTGCCCTGAAAATATAAAATTACTAGTGTAAAAGCTGCCCTATTGGGCAGGATTTAAGTAAGTTCCTGATTGGGCTTTCATTACAATAGGTAAGAAGGAGTAGATGCGATAGGCAACAAACTACAGAAGAACTCACTGCATTTAAGTATTGCATTAATATATAACCTTACCTTTTAAAAGTTCAAGGATAATTCTTCTGCTGCCACTTAATTTAAAGACAATTTAATGTCCGTAGGTCCTTATTTTCTGTACAAACAATTATTTTTATTTCATGGATGACTTTTACTGGATTTCGCAATTCTGATTATTCCCAAACTTATTTTCAAGTTATAAAAATTGTTATTGTACAAAACAAATTTGTCAAAAAAAAATCATGTAACAAGAAAAAAAAAGAATCTACGCAAACAATCACAATAATGAAAACTTGGAAATCCAAAATTTCAGGATTGCAGGCTTGGATCCAGCATGGAATGGATTGATTTGCTCACAAAGTTGGCCTGATTCCAAAATGGTATGATATGATATGTTGGGCTACAGCCTCTAGGAGTAAAGTTGAAAACACAGACAATTTTGTTTTGAAACATTCTAATTTGAGAACAGTAATTTTTTCATTTGAAAATGAGCTATTGAAAGTTAGAGAGTTGTATCCCTTTAATTGTTTTTACCAGCCAAGACCACGGAATCTGAAAACAAGCACAGTAATAAAAACTTGGGACTCCAAAATTTCAGGATTACGAGTTCGGGTTTGGCTCAGAATGGTTTTAATTTGCTCACAGAATTGGCCTGATTCCAAAATGGTATATGATGGGCTATGGTCTCTTGGAGTAAAGTTGAAAAAGTGTGACACAGTGACATTCACATTTATCATACAGATGTACAAAATATCTGTATATTGAAGACATAAAATTATACACAAAATATTTAGATTTCAGCATTAAATAATCTACAGAGATTGATATACCACTCAACAAAAACAACCAAACAATGATTCTTTAGGATATAAGCGATCATTCATTTTTCATTATCACTTGTAGATTGCCATAACTGCTTAGGAAATAGTTCTGTCTGCCTTCTGTACATTTTTAAATTCAAAAGTATTATTTTGCTTGATTGGCTGTAACCCAAGACTTTCTTTCTGAGACTTTTTTTTAATGCTATGAATGCAGACAATGATGGCTCTCCACAGTTTCCTTTATTATTATTTATTCCATGACTATCTTGGGAAAGCTCTACAATTTTGAATTCAAAGTTGTTCTTCAACACTGGCTACCATCAAAGACTCAATTTTAGGTGGGAGCAGAAGAAATGGACTCATATTTTTTCCAATGGCATTAGTACAAAGTGAATGTGTCAGCCTAGAACAGAACAGGAACTTGACTCAGATTTTCCATATAGATAACTGTTACTATATTTGCTCAGCTTGAGTTAGTTTGGCACAAGGCCAACATGAGAGCACTGTCTACACATCTTAATTGATCAAACTAGGTTAACTTGCCTTTCAACCTTTTCTATACAAAGTACAATTCTGATATAAATGCATTTCCTCTTAATTTAAAGCTTTTTTTCTTTTAAATAGATTTAAAAATTATTTTGTTTAGCAGCATATCAACCTCTATGTGTTACTGAATGCCAAAATCTATATATTTTGTATGCAATTTTATTGAAGATAATACTGGTTTTAGTGATACAGGTCTTACTAATTAACCCATAGCTTGGGGGGAAGAGGTGGATTCATACCTTTCCCAAGGATATTTACATGTAAGTGAATATAACAAACCCAACTGGAATTGGAACTTGGCTCTCTGATTAACAATTCCAAGCTATTATCCATTACACCAACTGCACATCCAAGCTTACAGCACCTGGTATTCCCAAGTAGTCCCCCATCTAAGTACTATTCAAACTTGACATTGCTTAACTTCGGTGATCATATGGGAACCGGTGTTTCAACATGATGTTTCTTGTAAGCTTTGAAGTAGAGAGGTAAGTAAAGATTCTCTCTTATTAATAAATGTTATCCCAACTTACCACTCTACAACCGACCTACTGCCTTGCCTCTGACATTTGGGGAGGGCAGGAATGAGAGAGAGGGGGATATGTGAGAATGAGAGAGGGGGGGAGAGAGAGAGAGAGAGAGAAAGTGCAGCTGTTGATGAAATAAGAAAAGTTTCAAATGACCCAAGGGAAAAGATGATTCTGTCGATTTTCCCCTCCCACCCATCAGAACAGTTCATGGCTGGCACATCTTTTGAGGAGTAGTTCTTAATTCCTCACTTCCACCTACCCACTGCAGCCTTGGGTATGATAGGGACAGGAATTGTCTGTGAAAGCAACAATATTTCTAAAGAGAGTCTGAGAAACACTGATCAAATCTTTTATACTTTCAAAGCACACTCCATTATTCTGGAGGGGTAATCTTTTTTTTTGACAGATTGAGGGGCAGATTTAAGGGAGGTGGGCTAAGCTAAAGACATTTTTGAAGAAATCTAGAAATGGTGACACAGTTTCTTATACTTGCGAAGAATTAAATTTTATGTATATAAATGTATTATCTTTCAAGAATGGATACCTAGTGTTTCCTGAGAGAGAAAAATATATAACTTTAAATTAGAATTTTTGTTTAAAAAGGATTTTTTAAGGGCTTCCCAAAGTTATGCAAAGAAAAGAAAATATTTTAATCCCAAACTAATTAATTCATTCTTTTTTTTCCTATGGGACATGTTCTTTCAGTACATGTACAATCACTGCCATATTGCACATAAATAACGTACCAGTTCAGTTCTTTTTCTTTATTTCCAACAATATTTTCCTATAGCTTAATACATTGTTTAGTTATTTAAAAGGCATCTTTGCTCTTTCTATGTACTTTCAGATTTCTGTGTTACGTTTTCTGCAACTGCTTAATTTCAATGTCCACCAATATGTGTCTAGCATATAGGACTGTTGCTTTTGCTGACGGCCATGTATTCTGTTTTCTTTCAGTTAGTAATTAGCCCTTTCTTATTGCTTTCTTTTACTACATTGTCTTTCAGTTTTTTCTGAGTCTGCCACCAACATAGTATCAGCTGCATATATTATCAAAAAAAAAGACTTGCCTTCAATATGCCTTGTGAGTATTAAATTCTCTAGGCCATCTTTCCTCCTTATGTGTCCCAATTGTCCCTTTCTAATTATAAATATAAGTTTCCATATTGTTCCTATTTTCCTTGAGATTTCTTTGTTGCTCACATGTACTGGGGATTAGTATGTTGCAAGACTAAATATATATATATATATATATATATATGTACATACATACATACATACATACATACACCAAGGAATGACATACATAATTATGTGATGAAATAAATATCTGCACTTAGATTCAAAGATCAATAAAGAGAAGTGCTCATTAAGCTCACAGAAATCCTTGGAGATTTGTATTTATAGATTATTCCTAATGTCCGTGACCAGACAAATACTTCACAAGATCTAGGCAGAAACAAAATCAATTCTTTTAGCTTTTAAATAACCTCCAAATTTTCTGAATTTATTTACCTAAAATCTTCAATGATATCGATCATACATAAACTCACTTAATTTGTACTCATTAGCAGCATTTACAATTTAATGTCAACAACATTTTTTTAAATGATGAAGAGGAGAAAGATATTTCAGCTTGTATATATATATATATATGTGTGTGTGTGTGCAGTTGATGTAAATGTCTTTAGCCTGTTTTTGACTGAGTCTTTTACTCATATAAATTCATAGCATCTTTATTCAGTCATCAAGTAATTTTTTTTATGACTTCAATCAACCTTTCAGCAAAATTATGATTTCTATCATATTAGGTCAATGCAAAAGTTTCTAGCAGCATGGAATAAACTCTTTCATGCTAAATATTTCATAGCATCATTATTCAGTCATCAAATTATTTTCCTTTGCTTTCTATGGCCTTATGCCATCTTCAATTACATTTTTTTAGTCATGTCTCTTTAGAATATAGGTGATCATGGCTTGTCACTTATTTCATTTTTATTATCTGTAAATTGCTATGTCTTTTTGAGAATGATGGAGTGGTTTCCTGTTGCCTTTACATTTTGGAATTCAGAGTCATCATCCTCTTAGACTGGCTGCCATACAAAACTATAGAGCCACAGCTACCCTGCTATTTAACCCATAACAAGAAGGAGAAGAGATGTTTTCATGCTCCAAGGCCATTAGTGTCAAAGTTAATAAACTAGACTGCTTCCACTTTTCCATGTTGAAAACAGTTATGCCACCCAATGTGTTTTGACAAAATCATTTATTCCCATAAAGTCAGTATTCTCTACCATTTCTTTTCTGTTTGCCACCACCCAAGAAGGCTGTAGAATGAATCAGTCAGAATATTGTTGTAACAAAAAAATCTATGTCCCCCAACCTTTCTTTCTCCAACATTTGTGGTATCCGTACCAATTTCTGCAATGTAGAATCATTTCTCTTGGAACATTTCCCCAATCTACTAGTGCTCTGTGAAACTAAGCTAAACTCTTCAATCACTACCACTGAATTCTCTGTTCCTGGCTATCTTCCTCTCTATCGGAAAGATTCTAGTATAGCTTCATTGTCTATGTTCCTGAAAATCTTCCAACTGTCTCTTGAGTCTCCAGATTGTTTTTATACATGCTTTCAACTTTGACTGTTAAAGTCAGTTAATTATGTTTTCTTTATTATTACTTTTCTTCACAGGCCTGTTGCTTTCTAGTTAGAATATCTGACAGTATGAATATAGCTCTCTCTCTCTCTCTCTCTCTCTCTCTCTCTCTCTTCATTCATCTACAAATATCTGTGTGTTTGGAGACTTCCAGGCTCACTATATCAAGTGCTCTTCTCAATGATGGGAGTTTCCTTCTAAGCATTATTTTTGATTGCGTCGAATGTTAACATTTTTTTAATCATTTTGTCTCAAGCAAAGCAATAAAGCCACTAAGATGCACGAGTTTATTAAATGTGAAAGAATATGAGAAAAAGAAGAACATTATTAAATAGAGAGAACAATGAAAGAAGAATTAAGAAGACAGAAGATAACTGACATATTTAAATTTTGGAAGATCAAAGTTGATTGGAAAGTAATAAGCTAGGAGAGAGTTCCACAACCAAGAAGTGCAAAAGAAGAAACTGTTAGCATAGAATTTATAGTTACATCTAGCCAACTCAACTCTAAATTGATGAGACCTAACTGCCAATCTAGTACAGTGCTTAAACTTGTAAAGTCATGGTGCCAAAGAGAAAGCTCATCAGAACAATTACCATGAAAATATTTATAGAAAAGGCAAAGGAAAGTTACTTTACAGCAGTGGGAAAGTGACTGAAACTGATTATATCATTCTAGTAGCATGTGCTATCCATTTTAATTGTTGCTCCTGTTGGAAGCCTTCAAATGACATGGCTTCTGTTATTTGGTTAAGTTCTTTGTGATTCTGTAGCACCAGTCTATAAAATCTGATGAAGGATTGTTTTCTTTAAGACCTAGAGCAACATCTCTCAACCTTTTTACCCTTGTGGAACCCTTAAAATAAATTACATGTATCAAGGGACCCCTGTGCCAAAACAAAATTATATACCATATCTTTCTCATTTTATTTTCATCGTAGTTCATGTAGTAAATATCATGAATTTGAATAACTGGTTCACTAAGTGGGCACTGACTAGTAAAGGTGGTTTCACACTGGTGTCGTACAGACATTACTAAATATATTCCCAATGATTTTTATATTTTTTAATTACAAAATAGCTTAGATAGGATGATGTCTATATTACAATATTACAATAACGAAGAATATGTTGTGCATGTTTAGCAATATTATGTATATGAAATTAAATAAAATGTCAAAAGTGCATTAGCTTACCTGTTCTCGTGAAACGTTGGGGACCTTTGGTTTTCGGGGAACTCCAGTTGAGAAATGCTGCCCTGGTGGAATCATTCACTTGGTCAATTTTAGTCTCTGTTGTGGAGTTGAAACTTCAGTCATGCAAAGCGTAGAGAATTTATGGGGACTAACTTAATTCAGATCAACCTGAGTAATTTGAGGGATCTAATGTAATGAGTCTCAATAAAGTTAAAATAAAATATATAATTCAAATTAGAATAAGACAATTAGTGACTGAAAATCTACCAAAATAAGAAAGGCTCCATGCATAACTTCTGTCATATAAAAAAAAAAATGAAAAAGAAAGGCACATCAGAAAATAAAATAATTTTGGTGAATCAAATAATTAACACAAAGAAACTTTTGATGCTAGCCAAAACCAAGGTATGTGCCAGAGTCTCAGAGCATGGTCAAAAGGATACAAGCTTACACCTCTGAGCTAAATAAGAAGAAGTGATGACAATAGAAACTAGGGAACAAAAAACACAACCACTGGAGAAACCAACCATGCATGACATGTGAAGAAGTAGATAACAGGTCATTTGCTAATACTATTTCTGCCCTGCTTAGAGCCAAGAAAACCCATTAGATTGACACTGACCTATTTGTGCTGATTTCAAAATTCTCAAATACTCCAAACAACTATCAATATCCATCTTATAAATGAACATTTTGTTACACCAAATATCAAAGGCATGCAACCACACTCTAAAGCAAATAAATAAAAATATATTATTTATTTCATACCCTTGAATCAGTTCATTTTATTTCCAAAGATAAAAAAAAAAAAATTATTCAGAACCTTCCAGCACAAAATATCACACTAACAAGTTTTACAGAGTTTTTAATCCATTTTCTCAGAATAAAGAATTCTTCATGTTGATTCTCAAAGCTATTTCTAAGGAACCATCAGTATTTAATCTTTATTTTACTTTTTTTTTATTTACAGTGGGAAATCAGATAAGTCTGAGAAAGCTCTTCTTCTTATGACTTGAAAAATCAAGGAATGGATTATATATCATTTGATAAAATAAAGTCCATTGTTGCCTCATG